GTTGAGCTATAGGCGCCGAGCCCAGAGTTTAAATTCTAATGGAGCTACAGATTATAAGTGGGTTGGATAGTCACTTACGAATGAGGGGCTATCTTTATGAATCCTATGGTTTTGATGTGGGAAAATAACTTGTATTCATGGTAGAAATAACTGACACATTTTTCTCCCAATCCTCTAGGTCAAACTGACCAAATGTCATAAAATCTTGCATAGACTTGTATCCTGGAACCTCCCATACTTAATTCAAACTACTGTTTTTTATGTCATGTTCTCCTAGACTGTGAGCCTCCTGTGGGCAGGGACCATTTGATTCACCTCTGCATTGACCTTGGTGTTTAACATTTAGTAGAAATTCAGTAACAACCACAGAATAAACAAATGAATGAGTAAATACCCACATCTGGGCCTCTCCCCACCCCCGTCACCATCAACCAGTGATAATTTTCGCCGCTCATTCCTGATTATTCTCCAACTTTCACTTTTTAGAGAGATTTTCCCCTAAATCCCTAAGTGAATTGATCGCAGCCATCCTCCCAGACCCCCTGCCCCCACCACTCTTGGGCAATCTTTCCCGAGTGTCAGATCATCTTGCTCCATTTGAAATGTTTGCTTTTCTAGCCGTCAATCGGGAATTTCTTGCCACCAGCATCCTGTGAATTTTGCATATCTTTTCTGTGTTATATTAACTATTTTCTGCATTTTATATCTTTTTCTATCTAGATATATTCCTTCAGTTTGGTGAAATATAATGTCCATTCACCTCCTATGAAAGGGTTTCTGGTAGGCACCTTTTTTGAGGTCTTGCATGTCTAAAGCTGGCTTTACTTTACCCAGAAATAATTGAAAGTTTGAATGGATATAGACCTCTAGATCAGAAATACTTTTTCTTTATAAATTTGAAGGCATTTTTTATTTATTATATTTTCTAGTTTCTAAGGAAACCCATTTCCATTCTTATTCAAAGTCCTGTTTAACACCCACATTTTTTCCCAGCAGAAAATTTTAGAATTTTATTTTATCTTCATTTTGAAAAATTCATGACAACCTATTTGGGGATGTGTGTGTGTTTATCCATCCTCCCGGGGACGGATGGGCCCTCTCCCTCTGGAAACACTTACCCTGAAATTCTGTTACATTTTTTGTCATTACTTAATTTATAATTTCTTCTTCCTCCTTTTACACTCATTTTCTCTTTTCTGCAATTTCTATCAGTTGCATAAAGGACCTGGACTTATGCAATAATTTGATTATTTTCTCCCATAGAATTTCCATGTTTTTGTTTTTTTATTCTGCTTTCTGGGCGATCTTTATCAATTTTATCCTCTAAATCCAGGTACTGAATTATCTTTTATCTCCTGGCGTATCTTTACGTGTTAGGGTCACAGGTTGTTTCCTGAATGTTCCTTTCTATAATGTCCCGTTTGTGTTCCAGGTTGCCTACCATTTTCCTTTCTATCAGAAGACGTTAAATACTGACTTTTGGTCTTTCCTCCCCACCCTGTGTTATTTCTGAGTTCTGTCTTCTGTTTATTTCTTTTGACCTTCATCGTTCGTGGTAGAGTTTCCTACAAATACTGGGTGACCCCTGACCCCCCTGAGGTCCCGAGAAGCCGGGTGGAAGCTTTGTGTGCGTGATGCCACGTTGACTGCAGGGTGACCTGGCAGCAAGCCAGAGAATATTCTGGAAAAACATTCTGCAGAAGAACATTTTAATCTGCTGCTTGGCATACAGCCATGTTACTTTATATATAAAGAATCTCAGTCTGTTTTCCTATTTTCAACACTAAGTCCCGTCACTTCTTTGCCTGGTACCTGTTGTCTCCACGATTCCATGGAGGTCTGTGGTATGAATCAATTTTCACACAGTGTAGCTAATAACGCACTTTGCTGTGTAGATGTATATTAAATATATCGTCTTTCCCCATCTTCTAAATTTTTTGCCAAGTTTCTCGTCACCTGAAGTCGCCTCTTGTATTTTCTCTATCGTTGCAAGTACACATATTTCAAAATTCCTTCAAGCTTACTGGAGCCTTGGTCATAAGAATAAGTAAATCAGGAAGGTGGAAGGTTAACTTCCATGTTTAGAGAAAGTTTTAATTTAATTCCCTTCATCCTTAGCTGACCCGTGAGCTGGCGAGGTCTGTGCAGTCCTGGGCACAGAACTACATCCTGCTGGAGTCACTATTTTCTCTGCCCCTCCCCCACACTGAACTTCGGACATTGACCTTCCACTTGGTTCTTCCCTGTCACTCTTTCTCTCCCCAGACACTGAGGTTTATGGCCTTAGTTTCCCCCAGGCCCGTGGCCCTTCCACTTGTGTGCTCTGTTTTTCAATCTTCTTCACCTTACCTAACGCTCACTTACTTCATTTAACATAAATTAAATGGTAAGTGGATGGCCATAAAATGTTTTCACGTCTAACTCAGATTTATGTCCCTCATCATTTCCACTTTATGTTTTATGGCACCTCAAAAACATCGTGTTTGTAGTTGAAGTGATGCTCTGGGGAGTTGGGGAGCACATCTTACTGTGAAGAGCGTGGGCTCTGGGACAACGGCCTGGTGTGTGGCCCAGATTCTTCATCTGGAAAGTGCTCAAAATTGAATCTTCATATGTTAAGCAAACACTAAAAGATTTCAATTACCATTCTATCCAAATCTCTTCCTCCTGTGTCCCCAGTCTCAGGGAATGGCAAATAATTCACCTGCCTTCTCAAGACAGAAACCAAGGCAACATTTTTGATTCACCCAATTCTCTCACTTTCCACACTTAGGAATCATCAAGTGTGAACGACAAATACCTTAAATGTTTTCGGAGTCAAGCCTGATTTTCTTCATCTCACCTGCCCATTGCCTTAGTTCAAACCATAATATTCCCATCTCTTGAATTTATTACCCTGCTCCTCTTTCTATCGTTCTCCCCTGCAGTGCAGCTGAATGACCTGAATACAAATATGGGTATGGCACCCTGTGGCTGCAAATATTTCAACGACTCCTCTCCATCCTCAAGACAAAGTCCAAAACTTCTAGCATGATCCACCAAGTATAATGCACCCAGCTGTCTGACTCCTGCCTTTCCCGTCACCTGCAGGCACCTGCCCGGCCTGGCCACGTTCCTCTCTCCACACTGCTCTCTGTGCTCTGGGCACTCACGGCTTCTTTTGCATTTCTGGGATTACACCATCACTCTTATCCTGCGGCTTTCTGAACTGTGGCTGCCTCTGCATAGAGCAAAAGGGCACCTTTACCTTGCATTTAAAAAAATAAATTAAACACGGAGAATAGCTTCTTTCTACTCATCAAGGCAAGTGATAATTCCTGGGAATACCTTACAACCATATGCTACAATTCACTTTGATCATGTTTGGATTACTTATTCAATATCTATCTTGTTGACTGAATTGAAAGCTCTATGAAGATAGAGGCCATGTCTAGCCTGTTCAATAGTGTGTATTTCTGGTAATTTGTTTGGTATCTGGTTTAAAGATAATACATTAAGATTTACAACTAAATAAGCAAATGGGAGCTAAATAAGATAGCAACTAAATAAGAATATGGGAGCTAACGATAATCATAAGTACTTTTATTTCTACAATACTTGCAAAATTTCAAACCAACTTACAATCTATTACTTTGGTTATTAATGAGAAATAGATGGTTCATATATTTGGTATAATTTTCCACATTTTGATAATAAGTAATTAAGGTTTAGTGAGTCAGTCCGTGATTGCATGAGGTCACTTACGGAAGGATTAGGCAACCTGGGCTTGGATTTCAGCTCTGCCGACTGCAAGGCTATTGATTATTTTCCCCACTTGCAGACCTGCATTACCTTGATGATGTCTATGGATGAGCATGTAAGAATTCACAAAGACTTGGATTTCCTCTCTCTCTCCACACACACACACACATACCTGACAGTGATTTATGCCCAGGATATAGGAACAAAACAGAATTTGGAGGTAGCTGTAAGGAAACAACTTTTCTGTCTTATCCAGTGATCCATTTTGAAGAATTTTTTGAATGTCAAAAGCATGGGAGTTCAGGGAGGCAGGAGGATCACGTTTCACAGAGTGAGCAGAGCACAGTACCCAGGAAGGCAAGCATGTCACACACGGAGGTTCAGGGGGGCTTTGTTCTGAGACGTGGCCAGTGCCCAGGATACCTCCGAGACAGCTGGCTTCACATCCACTATTTGGACTTGAC